GAATAAAGCTGGGACATCCCAGTTCCTGATTTCTAATATAAGTACACAAAGAAGTAGCAATCAAAACAGTATAGTACTGGCATGAAAACAGACACATAGACCACCAGAATAGAACAGAAAGCTCAGAAATAAACCCACTCATATATAGTCAATTTATTTTTGATAAAGGTGCCAAGAATACACACTGGGAAAAGGATAGTCTCTTCAATAAATTGTGTTGGAAAAACTGAATATTCACATGCAAAGGAATGAAATTGGATATTTACACCATATACAAAAATTAAGTCACAATGAATTAAGTGTATAAGACCTGAAATAAAACTTGTAGGAGAAAACAAAGAGAAGAAACTCTTTGAAATTCTTCTTGTTATTCGCTTTTTGGGTATGACACCAAAAGCGCAGGCAACAAAAGCAAAAATAAACAATGGAAACTTCATCAAACCAAAAAGTTTGTGCACAGTAAGGGAAACAATTAACAAAATGAAAAAGCAATCTATGGAATTGGAGAAAATATTTTCAAGCTCTGTGTGTGTGTGTGTGTGTGTGTGTGTGTGTGTGTCTGATAAGGAGTTAATATCAAAAATGTATAAAGAACTCATACAACTCAATAGCAAAAAGCTAAATAACTTGATTAAAAAGTAGGCAAAGGACTTGAATAGACTTTTTTATAAACACACAAATGGCCAACAAGTATATGAAAAAATGTTCAACATCACTAATCATCAGGGAAATACAAATTAAAACCCCAATGAGATATCACCTCATACCTGTTAGAATGGCTATTCTTCAAAAGACAAGAGATAATAAGTGTTGATGAGGGTATAAGAAAAGGGACCCTTGTACACTGTGGTGGGAATGTAAATTGGTACAGCCTTTACGGAAAACAATATGGAGGTTCTTAGAAAATTAAACACAGAACTACCATATGATTCGGCAATCCCATTACTGCGTGTGTAGCCAAAGGAAATGAAGTGAACGACTGAAGACATATCCTCACCCTCACATGCATCGCAGCATTATTCACAAAAGCCAAGATTTAGAATTAAGCTAAGTGTCTGTTGATGGATGAATAGATGAAGAAAATGTGCTATATATACACAATGGAATATTATTTAGCCATAAAAAGAAGGAAATCCTGTATTTGCCAAAATATGGATGAAAATGGAGGACATTATGCTAAGTGAAATAAGCCAGACACAGAAAGACAGTTATTGTATTATCTCATTTATATGTAAAATCTAGAAAAGAGTCAAACTCACAGAATTAGATAGTGGAATGGTGGTTGTCCGGGACTGGCAGGTAGAGGAAATGTGGAAAAGGTACAAATTTTCAGATGTAAGATGAATATGTTTTGAGGTTCCAATGTACAGCATGGTTACTACAGTTAATAACAGTATATTGTTTACTTGAACTTTGCCCAGAGAGTAGATCCGAAGTGTCCTCACCTGCCCCCCACATAATCGTAACTAAGTGCGGTGTTGTATATGTTAATTAATTTGTGGTGATCATTTCACAACATATATGTATATCAAATCCTCATGTTGTAGATCTCGAATATATGCTTTTTAAAAAACTTTCAGAATATTAGGGGGGTACAAATGTTTTGGTTTTGTACTGCTTGAGTCAAAGTTATAATTCATTTTTTATGGCTGAGTAGTACTCCATGGTATACATATACCATAATTTATTAATCTACTCATGAATCGATGGGCACTTGGATAGATTCCACATCTTTTCGATTGTGAATTGTGCGGCAATAAACATTCAAGAGCAAGTGTCTTTTTGATAAAATAACTTTTTCATTTGTTAGTTATAACTCAATAAAGCTGGAAAAAAATAAAATTATACTTCAAACAAAGGCCATGGCAAAAACACATGATTCAAAAAAATGAAAGTAATGATTTGAACAGAGAAAGGTAAGAACGTTATTCTCGTTTTTCATATAGCAGGATCATATAACTAGAAAACCCAAGAGATTCAACTAAATAATTAGTAGAATTAATATAAAGGCTCAGAAGAGTAGCTTAATGCAAGATAATATAGTATAGTTAATTCTTCTGGACATCTAGTACTAATGAGCTTATTGAAAATACAATGGAAAAGGCCACATTCATACTAACAATTAAAAATAATACAAGCTACTTAATAATTCTAAAA